TGCAAACTCTTGGAGGCGCACTATTGTAAATCGCCCGTATTCCAAAAATACACGAGAATGGTCAAACGCGATTAATGTGTACCAGCCTAAACCTCTTTGTTTCTCCATGCATTTCCAGACGTCTCAATAGTTGTCATACAACAACACTACACGTACGCCCATGCAAAGGTCTGCCAGGGTTGTATACAGGCCAGGGCCTCAACGCACGTAATATGACATCGCCACTTTAATCTAGAGGCGAGAAGACGCTTCGGGCCAGGCTGTTGAGGTGTTTATCGGCTGATCCCATGGGAGCGCGGTTTAATTAAGCATCGTCCCCTCACACTCAGTTAAAGACTTTTGGGCATAAGGAGCACGATTATGTCGCCTGAAAGAAAATGGCAAGGGCCGCTATGTACAGAGGGTACCAAGGTGTTCAAAATATAATATAGCCATTAAACTTTTGGTGTAAGATAAGCATGCGGGGTTTGTGCACACAAAAGAAGGGCGAGCATTTCTCATATAGCACTGGAATATACAGTTGGTAGAATTAAAAGTATGTCTTATGCCAAAGACATAAATGCCAGGTAAAGGCGTGGTTTGCTTGAACAATTCACGAATAGTTAAAGGGTTGCTGCCATGGAATTCTTTCAAAGCAAACCTCTAAAACGTACCTTTTGTGTGTCAGGTTACTTCCGTTTCTATGTTTGTTTCAACATTTCAAAGAGCTTTTGGTGGCCTTTTGGGTTTGGTGCTAATGAGTTTTTCCATACTTATGCGCAGAATTGTGACCTCATCCTAGGAAGAAACAACAACTTGTCACACTGGTTTGTGCATAAAACTCCTATATTTCTGAAAGATTTCGCTGGCCTACATTTACTCTTCTTAGTTGATTTGTTGTGTAAGGACATATAGCAGTTTTACCTCTTCTTGATAAGTGTTTTCAGTGAGTTAATTCTGCCACAATTTAAACACAAACCTATAACTATGTCTTCCCTGTGGATCACAGCAAAGCGTGGATTTCAAAAGTGCACTTTTCAATGCATTTTAAGAGGGATGATTTCACGGACTAAAGAATAGTACAATGTTACAGAAAAAGTGTGTTTGAGAGAAATTCGTTGCTAGCTACGCTTTAAGGGATGGGCATATAGCCTGCCTGTCGGACAAACTAAATAACGTTTTGGGAGGTTGCGCGTCTGCGTGTTCACGAGCACCTTTCGTCTGTACTCTTCAAGTCGAGCTCTATAAGCTGAGACAATGCATACTACCGTAGACAAGGAGTCGTCATGACAACCACTCCCACAATTTTAGACGCGACTGCGGCATCCGCATTGTAATATTAGCAGGTTCCTCAATAATAAACTGAGAGCCGGTGATTTGCGGCCTTTTCCGGTAATAGACGGTATTTCGTTGCGTTCCTGCGGATTCAAAGTGGGCGTATTATCGGGTCCTTGCTGTTTTCACAAAATGGCCAATCGCTTTGTACTGATGTCGGAACACATTTTGTGGAAGCCAACACATTCCAACGGTGTGTAGCTTACCACTTCCTGGAAACGGTGACAAAATATGCCACTGCATAATTTTCTTAATAACCTCACCGTCTGGCCTGATTAATTTTGCTTATTGTCCGCGGTCTAATTTGGGCAATTTATCTTAAAGTAAATGGCACCATCGCGGGTAAATCAGCAAAACCGGATACTTTCAAACATTAACTTCTCCGGCGCAGATGTTAGCTCAAGCTCCCGAACATTCACGCGCGTGCTGGCCCTGTTTGAAATGAATTAACCGCGCAAACACCTTACCTGATGCATTCTCCCAGACAACTCGCACTGTCTCGAGGCCCCGGGCAATATACAGACTGACTTCGGCATGCCACTCACTCTCTGCAGTCACCATGACTTCGGCGCAACTGCGGCAGCCAAACCCAGTCAGAGAGAAAAAAAGGGGGGGGGGTTCAAGTCCAACTTGTCCGGTACGACGCTCAGCGACCGAGCGCGCTGGTTTAATTTTCAATCTCCGGAAGTATTATCGCTTAATGAATTGATGACTGCGGTACACCGTCCGCCGTACCGTGGCGTCATTATCCCGGCCTGCCCCCTTAATTTATGAGTCCCGAAATTGCCATCGATTTCTTTCTATTCTTCTTCGTGGTGACTGTTTCGGAAGTCGCATATAGAAGCTGCATTGTGCAGACACTCGAGACGTGCGGAGTCATTCCAAGAGGTTATCAAAATTTCGTTTGAGGGACGAGAAGGGACGAGACGAATTTGAAGCGGTGAACCGTGCAATGTCTGATGTGTGATACCAAGTGTAACATTAACAATCGAGCAAAGTGGATATACCTTATCTCGTGCGGACTTAATTGCGCTATGGCGCGCGAGCACGAAGCCGTAATTAATACGGATAAATGTGTCGTGCCAAAACATCCATTTTCCAATGTAATGGAGCTCGACACCGCGCAATAATTAAAGAGCAATAAATTTGATAGACTGGCAAGTTGTAACACGTAAACAGTAACAGAAGGCTACGTTGCAGCAAAATTGCCCGGGGAATTAGCATCATTTTTTTGCACATAATGACACAATAAACTTCACGAGGCATGCAACTAGGAGCAGAACTATTGCCTTATTCGTCCGCAATAAGTAATTTAGTATTCATTCTAAGATGTTTCTACATACAGGTGTAAAATTTCGGGAAATGTGTGGATTCTGGATATTGATTTTAATAAGTATAATCTCAGTTTGGGTAGCTTTCTTTTATTCAAAACACCCCTAAAACAAACCGGCCCCTCAGCCGTACGTACAATTTCACTATTAGGTTCATTGTTTTTACATTCCTAGAACTAGAGGATCCGACATTACCATATTCCACAGGTTGTTCACACTGTAACTGTGTTTTTCAACACAATACAGACCACGTCTAAACTAGCCCGTAATGAGCAATCTGCTATACGAATTACTGCGCCAAACCCTGCCAAGTGGCCATGAATTTCAAATTAGCATGGCGTGTCGTTGTTTCTTCGAACTGTGCGGTATTCAGGTTCGGCCTTGTTCTTGCAATTACTACAGCGCATATATACGCTGCCGTTTCATCAAATTGGGAGTGTAGGGTGCTTGTTTTAATTGAAAAGCAAAACTAAACGGCGTGTGTTCTGCGTTAAGAACTGGGACGTCCGTAGCGCACTTTTGTTCCAAAGTGCACGAACTGAAGAAGTACCGTACTCATGCAGTTATTACGAGATATATGTGGTACATTAAGCTCTGAAGGACCGTGTTCAATCCGTGAACTGACAAAGTACATTATGTACGCATGCAGTTAATGAGATTTTACAAGACCATATGGGGTTCGGGCTGATGCTACATGAATTTGTTTATCAAAATTGATCCCCGAATCTTCATCGTTCGGCAATGACAAGTTTAGCTAAATGCTTCGACACATCAGTCCCTCGGCCAATAACACTGATACTTAATGCACTGCAATGACAAAGAACAGACAAAGACATAAATCTTGGGGAAAACTTTTCTGAAGGTCTGCAATTTCCTCGGGAAAGCAAGGCATTCGTCCATGGCAGTGCAGTCCGAGAGTGTTTTATCGCCAGGGACTACATGTAACTATCAGAGCAGGTAGAGATCCAGTTTCTATGCTGGAGAGTTCCCATTAAAATCTGGAATTTCACAGAACTCTCGAAAGAAGTGGACATTCCATAGACAATTCCATGAAAGTATTCAGAGCTTTAAGACGGATTACACTGGTTTCCAGAATAGCTAGCTTACTTTTCTTTTTTTATGAAGACATTCGGTACCGGTATTTTAAGTGACTACATCAAAGGACCTCGTGGGAACTTTATTCTTTGACATTTATGCACAGCACCTGAGGATGTATGTGGCCCAGCGATCTTTTATCTTCCCACAGTTTTACGGCGAGTCAATAACACGTGCGCACGCTTCGATTTTCGCTGCAAGTCATGTTCCCGGCGCGCACTTACAGTCAATATTTGTACAATTTACAAGAAATCCTATCCGTTTAAGGACGGCAAGTTTCTTGTTCTGAATCAATCTCCCGCTCGGGCCGTACTTTAATATCCCATTAGCGCGATGAGTCAATGACTGGACGGCTGGCTGGAGGCATGGTGCATGTAGGCTCCCCGAGCCGACGCACGATGTATTACACGGCATCGATAAACACGGGAACGATCCAACTGGCACCGAGTGTTGCAACCATGAGCTCCGTGGGGCGAGAAAGGCACCAAAAAGCCACGGCTCCCCCGAGTAACCAACATGCAATGGTTCTGGATCGTTGAGGAATCATTCAGACACTGCTAAGAAACAAAGTGCTTTGATTTTTTTGGGGGGGTCACTGTATATTAAAGAGTTATCGAAGGTTCCGTCGTCGAGAACTACCGCTACCAATCACCTTTTTTTTTTTAAAAGGCATTACAGGCAGGCATTCCATTTTTATAACCAACCCAATCCGGCGTTCTGAGACACATTTCTCTGTAATTGAGGCATGAAATCCTAGTTTTTTAAGACAAGATATCACCTGACGTACCACCGATCACTATGCATGTAAATTCGAATGTGTCTGGTCAATGCATGCAGAATATTATAAACAGACAGGTACAGGGATCGTGAAATTAATCATGCTGTCAGTTTCAAGACATTTTACAGCTTTTCCCATCATTTTTTTAAAATGAAATCAATAACGGCCAGCTCTTTCAAAACCCTCTGCTCCGGAACGTCCACAGAAAACTTCAACATGCTTGCGTAAAGTGCATGGCCTTTTAGGGGCTAGGGTTATTCCAAGAACGGCTCTGCAAGGTTGATTATCAAGGATTACTAAGACATACCTGTGAGTGTATCTTCTTGAAGTTCTTCATCATCTTGAAACTTTTCAAGACTTACCGTTTGCATTCTTGTCTCCAATAAACAGAAACGCACATCACACAATACCGGTAACAATCGAAAGTAAAAGGGGAACACTGGAAGGCGGAACAATTACGGCACACAACAGAATGTGCAATGTACGGTGGCGAATTGTTTATTTCCGGTAACAGCAAAAAATACAATTCACGATACGACATTAAAAAAAATCTTACTGTGAGACTACTTCGCTATTGCTGAGAGAGGAAAATTAAATCTCAAGTCAAAGAGTGGGGGAGGGGAGCCGGAAAAACCCAAGTTACGGACGCGTCCAAAGGTTTTATTAGTGTAAGGGAAAACAAGGGACTGGAAAATGGCTGGAAGAAAGAATTCTTCCACCCAAATGCTTGAAACAGAATTTACAACATTACTGGAACACATGATCGAATACTGGTTAGGACATGAGATACAGGATACGGTTTTTCTAACTTCATGATAATAGTTCAATTAGCTCCGCGCCGCGTTTCTCACAAATATATTTCCTGTATTCGTTGGAGATATATAAGATATTCTTCGTCGTTACGCCCGAGTAAGCCTATAGCTGAATTTCATAACACAAGGGCTCGATACTGATATGTCTGATCCCCATTCGTTATCAGGGAACTATTGGTTTTCTATTCAACAACCTCGTACATCTTTACCTCTTCATTACAACACCAGCCTGGCAAAGACTATCAATGACCAGTTTTATGAAATGCCTGAGTGACACCTGTAGGCTGTAGCAGAGAAAATAAACACACTGTGTTGTATTTCACAGTGGAACTGCTACAATCGGTAAAATACGTACCTAAATGTGCAAAATTAAGGCAAATGTTGTTTCTTATGATAAAAGTTAACGGAAAGTCCCAAAATGTTCTATTATTACCTGCAGATTTTAAACCAACGCAGCAGCACAAAAAGTCACAGAATCAGTCGACGAGATAAAGATGAAGTCCATCTGTTCCATCAAAGGCGAAGATATCCAACCTGCAATACGTATTGCACATACGAAAATACAGAGCCTTGATCCGAGTACTTATGGATGCAAGCAGATAATGCATGCGGTGATGAAGTTTGCATTTGAAAAATAAATCAACTTCCTCAGAAAAAAATTCTGAAGCATTAGAATGGACCAGTCAACTGATAAATTCTAATTTATGCGTGCATGTTCATAAATGCCACTGTACATTTCATTGGGCCGCTCAAGCTTGTTGCCTCCACTTTTCATTTATGCGCATGCGCACACAAATCACAATTTATAAGTGAACAGGGCTATACTCCAACAGAATATTCATTGGCGTAATTTCTCATCAACAATCAAAGACGAACTTTTATGACTAATGTTTCAATAAAATTCAACACAGTCCAGAACACACATTATTGCATATCATGTTACCACCGTTTTATAGCAAATGATATTGCTGAAAGTCACATAATTGCGTTTATGTGCTTAGGCCTATATATACTGCAATAACCGCGGTGTCAATATAACAACCGCGGCTTCAACACTAAACAAGACGGGGGGGGGACGAAGCAAAGTAATACCCCACAGGAACATTGCTTTTATCATGTCTACTTGCAGTAATGTCACATATTTATAAAATGTGGGAAGTGAAGGAGAGTGCCACGCCCTTCTCCGCTGGGAGAACAGACTATTGAAAAAAAATGATGGTCACGATTCAACCATGCCCACGTCAACACTTAGTCGTGTTTCAGCAAATTGTTGTTTAGTGGATTATATTTGGACGTACTCCTGTAAACTACGTTGCAATCTCCATGTAGTTTGCACATGTACACGTCGTTTGCATTAGGCCAACACGCAAATGCAAGCCATCAAAGTTTGAAGACACTTTTTCAAATGCAGAAATCCCGCCTCCACATCTTTCAGATTGAAGCCTTTCAGGATCACTTCCTCCGTTGTTTCAACTGAAGTAAGCATCAAATCCACATGCAATCAAATGATAAGTCATTCATGTCTTTATTTAAACATTCACGTACAAAGACATAAGCATGTTGATAGCTTAGGTCATTAATATCAAAGACACAAGATTCAACATAAATAACAATATGGGGAGATATTATAAAGAACACTACGTTATAAAAAACACTATTTTGGAATAATGTGTCAAGTCAAAACACACAAAAGAACCACTTGTATTTCGCAAATTGCCTCCGTTTTTTGACGTCCTAGAAGTGTAAACAAACTGAGGGTTCCCAAGGACAAAATCATTCTTAAAATGCAAACTTTTGTGAGAATTAGAACAGAAAGAGCCGTGGAAACATAAACCCGAGCCATATAAGTGCAGCATGAACTACCTGGCCAACTAAGGAGTTGAGAAAAGCGGCTACTCTATGCATGACGCACTTTCAATAACCACCAGGGCCGCCGGGAGACCACTTTGAAGCACGCGGGCCGGACGGACCAGTGGCTCGGCAGGGGGGAACCCAGCAAGGCCGCCAAGCAGTCAAAACAAGAGCTCTTATCAGAGAACCTAATAGGAGGACACGTACGGCGAGAGGATCTTGAATCCTCAATTAAAAGACGTGGAACGACCTACAGCGAGGCGTTTTAATGAACTGTTGCCAAAGAATGCCGAACGGCGGGGAGGCCGGAATGTTTGCGAGTTGGACCGGCAGAAAATACCTCTGCCCGCCGTTTTCGCCATCAACTATAACTTTTTTGTTCGTCTTTCTTAACGACTGTTCTTTCGCCGTCCCTACAGGTAACCCAGAGTTAATTAAACGACTAATTTCGGTTCAGAGCGCCCTCTCGCGTAGGCTATTTCGACAATGCCTATAATGTTATGAGCTGCGAAGGAAACTGTCAATTGAGGTATCACTCTATATTCAGACACCTACAGTGAATTTCCTCAATAACTTGTCACATCACTCGAAACGGAAAGAGGAGCTTCTGCATGCCGAAAATCATGGCAATAATAGTTCGCTACATACGAAAAACTCCACTCTTTAAGAAAGAATTCAAAACCAGAAATACCCTAACCGTGCTGTTGACCACTACACGCTGAAGATGAGGAATTTTTATTTTCAACCTCTTTTTAAAGCTTTTGTTGTCCGTAGAGGTCTAACCTTATTATCAGTCCCGCTCAAACTCACAGCATGAAATTTTACTCCTTTTTACCATGCAGGTGCGATTCTGCTCATATGCATGAGAAACACTGTGCTACACCAGGATCCGCACGGTCATGCCGTCTAATTATGTTAACCTTTCCGTCACGATAATGTAAATGCCAGGTCCGCAATTAAACATGAATAAAATAGGGTTGATGAAGGAGACACAAACAGCGTCGACGGTGGTATCCCTGCACACCGCAGCCACTGCCCTACTACTGATCAGTCCGAAGGTGTCATGGCGGCGTGACACGTCAGCGTGGGCCAATAAAGATAAACCGTCCCCGTTTTACCCTTGGCTGGAGAGCTGGTGACAGAAAAACTTATGTACCTCCGATGAACTTGGGAATGAACGACAAGCTTAATTGAGGCTTAAGTGTAGCCTTCGGAATTCCGACTAGTCACGAAGAGCTGTAGAAACCCGCTGCCTCATAGTACACAGCCAACCTCACTTCGCGAGAAACATTCCGACGGCCGTTCCGTGGCATGTTAAGGCTACTCCAGTATTTAATGTTCGTAAAATCAGAAAACAAATGTAAGCTGTTTCCTCCATAAAATTATGCTGAAGGAAGATTTTTCATCTGCCAGATTTTAATACCGATGAGGAAATTAATTCAACATCTTGGGGAAAGATACCATTGCTTCAGCCTATATTCGACACATCCACAGTGAAAGGGAATCATACAAGCTTGATTCTCTAGCACAATTCTTCATAAAATAGCCAGGCAAAAGAAAAATCAACCATGGAAGTAGTTCACGCTAATCGAAACAGAACGTACTCGTATACCCGTGCCAGAAAAGTGTTTCGTAGAGGTTCTGCTTTTGACGTGAACATTTTTTTATTCAGGGACACAAATACGAAAGCTGTGTGAACGGATATTGATCCACAACGGTCGTCTACAACTAGAAGGTCGTCTACAACTCGAAGAATCTTCATCACATAAACGTTGCACCTGTCCCACTGATAATGTGTCTAATTACAGGCTCTTGTTTTGCAGGCATGACCACAGGTGCAGCCTTAACCCATCACTTGATGGGTCTGTAACACTGACACTTGGGTACGAAGAATTTAGACAATGTCAAGTTTATGCCTCTTGTGTGGGGTCTTGGATAGGCACGGCTTGGCCGAAGTGCATAACTTCGCAGCACCTTTGAAGAAAGTAATCAGGGTGGTCATTGTCTAATATGAGCTGGCGAAGGAGCGAGGGACACGTTCTTTCTGCAGAGTCATTTCGATTAGACGGAATTGAAACATTGAGTGCAGGCGATAAAAATCCCACTTGAAACAAAAAAAAACTTGATCTGCAATCCCGCTGTATGCATTCTACTCCTAATGAAGACTCTCGACTAGGCCTACTTATCACGTGGGTTTTGTCTTAGCCAAATATTACCTTGAAACCATTCATGTGTCTCATCGACGCAGGTGTATGCTGGTTACTGGCCTCCAAAAGCAACATCAGTTCCAAGCACATGGCTTTGGGCAGTGGCATACACTGAACAGATAGATCTTTACTCCAGTTCCGATGTGCACTGAAACAAGCAAACCAGAGAAATAGCTCAGTTTAATTCACAACTAAATGGCAAAGTGCATGAGCCACGGAGAGAAATAACACATCATTTAACCCCGTAACTAATGAACACACATGAATCAGCACAGATGCTATGGAATGGAAGCTTGAATATGTTTAATGCTGGTATATACATACATAATTTCCTGATTTGCTTTGGACAGAAACGATCTTTTCACAGCACATTTTGTATTTAAAGTTAACCCCGTCTACCATTTTATTCTAAAATACGGGGATAATATATCAGTGTACAATGTAATGACTATGACATACCGTGACACGTCGCACTGGGTTCTATGACATACCGGTACTATGACATGTCGAACTGGGTTCTATGACATACTATGACGCGTCCACTGAGTTCAGGAAATTATTTCCATGCGATATACACCACCCATACAATCAGAGACACCACTTTTTATTTCCCCCTTTTTTGGTATGCCACATTCTGTGTGAAGAGAATGACGTCCACTTACACTACACATTTTTCCCCTGTTTGAAAGAAACAGCTTTGGTTTAAAAGTCCGTCTTACACCTTGTCCCATTTACCACACCAATACAAAGGCTGGACTGTCAAATAAACGGGTAAGTCTGAAAGTGGAGAACGTGGAACAGCAATGGAAAAGCTGAAATTTTATTGCAAATATTTGTCACAAATTTACCAATAGGTTCCCCGTGAAGGGGAATTTCACTCTGACGTAACATGTTTCAGAAACGACAACTTAACACATCGGCAAGGTAGCTTTACTATAGTTGCTTAGTTCAGTGATGTGGAAATTCGACAATGACATTGCTATACCGAGTGATCAGTGATGTAGGCTTGCCCCGTGCAAAAAGGGCGCCACAAATTGTCAATCGACCCGCATAATCATCGATGCAGACCTGCAAATCCTATCCAGGCTGTCTATGCGGTATAGTTGTGAAAAACTGACATGGCGGCCTGGTGGATGGGCAGCTCAGTGGATGCACGTACATGTACATGTACTGTACATGTACCACGTACGTACGAAGTTGCAGCCTGCTCGAAGAACGGCAAAATGCGGCGCTGCTATTCATCACTGTCAGAGCGTAAATGGAAAACGAACGGGCATGCAAAGCAGGTATCCAGAGCTCTCAACCTGGGGGTCTTCGTGCGGCAACAAAAAATTATAACGCGATAGGTGATCTCATCAAGACAACACTGCCCAACTGGGAATGAACTAATGCAAAAGCTAAAGATGCCAACAGGCGCGGTTGTGCGGTTATGACACTTCATGGGGACGACATTAAAAAGGGAAGTCTTAATAAGTCTTATGGTACTATCTTATGATAATGGCATCAATGGTATCCATTCCGACCACTGCACCCACCGAAGGTTCCCATAATTTTGTGTAACCCCAGTGCAGGACGTGGCAAATACAAAACTGTTCTTTTAAAAACATTTTTTGTTACTTTTATTTACATTTACATGTAGTCAGGTTTAAAATTTGTGTACAAAGAAACCGACCATGTTGGCTTTAATGTGAGGCGTGACGCATATGCATCAACATCTAAGGAACGATAATTACAAACAGGACAATACGAGAAACGCAGTCGTAAAGTTTTGTGCTGACCAAAACACATTCGAGAAAATTCTCGCCAAGGCGGCATGTAATACTTATAATTATGCAGCAGATTTAAGGCATGATTTCCAATATCATTGTATATCATTTCATTGTATAAGCCACGGCTTATACAATGACTTGCATCCTCCTTCAATACCAGCATGGACTCCGACAGATAGCGAGTCCCCCATCTGGAAATAACCACCGCCACTTGGGGGAAAAGAGAGCCTGCTGTCCGTCTCGAAAAGCTTCTCGACGGGATCTCAGCAGGTGCACGCAGTGAGGGACTGGACATTTCTCCCTGTCAAGTGGGCAACGACTGCGTGCATCCCAGGCAAGGTCAGCCGCCACGGAATCCTGAAAGCTTCGATGAGACAAGATGCCTAAGCTTCCCAGTTACTAGCGGCTTCCATTACCCCCCCCCCCTCCAGCGGCTGGACACGGATTGCTCCGGCGTATAACAGCTCCGGTGTAATAGACTTGCTCAAGTCACATGGACTTAATAATAAATAAACTGGTGCATGCATGTACATGTACCTGTAATTGTTCAGATATGCATAATGTGCTATGAAGAAGGAACCAGAAATAGAATAACAAGTACAATTTTACAACAGAACAGACAAAAAAGTGACACAACCATTTATCCATAACCCATATACATGTACAAGTACATGGGTGTCCAGAAGACGATATATTACACGAATGCAATGATTTACACGTGTCACACCCCCCTCCCAGCCAGACGTTTATCAGAGAGTAAGGCTAATTTGGCCATCATTTATATCCAATGGAGTGAAGCATGGTACAGGTTCATGTAGGTAGACCATAAAGAAAGAAATGAATTTGTAAAAGCTGCAAATAACCATCGCATTTCTGGCAAGTACATTTTTCTCCCTGTTGGCCATTTGGGCGGCCATATTTGTGGTCTAAGCATTGCCAATATTGATTTTTAAAGAAAAAGGACACGAACATGACAAGAAAACAATTTATTTTGGTAGACAACATTTCTAAATAACAATTTCTTCTGCGTGTTTAGTATATGTCTTTTGACCAATACATGATTTTTTACCATCTGACCTTACTGGCGGCCATGCATATTGGTGGTCTTCAAGGCCCTCATATTGAATTTGAGGAGGCAAAGCGAAGAAAGATCACCAAAAATCAATTTTCAGGGTACAAAACATCCAAACAACACTTTTAATTTGAATTTTGGTATAAAACTTGACTGATACAGGCAGTGTACACGCCTTTTCCCATTTTTGACCATAAGCTATTTGGCGGTCATTTTGGCCGCCATCTTGGATATCCTCAGAGCATCGGCTTTTTTCCGATGTTAACATTTATAATGTGTTTCAGGACGTTAAAATGCACCCAAAAATGTTGAGGTCGTTAAGTTCTTGGGGGGGGGTGCACGGGGCCCCCCATACAATATCCCCTAGCAAGACTACACGCAAATTTTATCCAGAAGTCCTGCAGTGTATCCATTACGGATTGAAACTGTAAAGCGACACCCGGATATTTTATGAGGTAATACTGGGGACATCTGCACTACCCCAGCAGTGCAAGAGCTGTATGGAGAGAGAGCAGCGCCAACTTCAGCCTTCGGAACCAAAATGGCTGTTCATCATGTGTGCAATACAGCATGTAACTATTGTGTATTAATACAGGCGATTCTCAATAGTGCACCTCCGAGAGTTTGCGACGCGTTGGCCAATCACAACGCGCGAAATCTGTCGACCCTCGCCAAACGCGCATTGGGTCGAACAATTCTGCACATTGTGATTGGCCAATGCGTTGCAAACTCTGGGAGGCGCACTACCGTGAAACGCCCGCATTGTCCATGTGTAGTGACGCATAATCCAAAATTCTGGTGCCACCAATTAAGACACTCATGTCGCAACTCTGTCTAAAAAACAGCTCTGAGCTGTGCAAGAGGTTAATGATGCTCATGGAAACCATTCTAGCCAAAAGACCTTGCTGTTGCACCTCGGTTTCAGCATTATCTCGGATACATAAAAAACATCAATCGCTCTAAAGTCGTCGTCAAAAATGAATTAAAAAAAAAGATTGAGAAGATATAACATGCCAATTTTCCCTTTCAAAGTGTAAACCGTATATTTTCATTTCTTGAGGTTTTCAGTGAGGTCGAAGTTAAATCTAGGTAACATGAAAAATAAAAATAGTTAAAGTACCCCAGTCTTTAGTTGAAACACATGAAACGAACGCGTCACGGACAGAACGACAAACGAGTCAAGCAACTGGACCGACTTACCGCTTCCCTCCTTCGTCCCATAATGCTTGGTAGAGCACCTTGACAATCCTGTGGGCTTCTACTGCGTGGGTCCTGACTTCCCCGCCAGCTTCCCAACAACATTCATCAAGCTTGCAATTGGTCACACGCGATGCCTCACGGGGCTCCCGCTGCCGGTTACCATGGAAACGTATATCAGCGAGACCAGGTGGCGAAGTTTCGCTGGTGAGAATTAAGGTGTCTGAGCTTAGCAACCAGAGCTGCGGACGTGAACATGATGAAGGCTTCAACGTTAAAATTAACAAAAAAACTTCTTATCAACACAGAGTCAGCCACTTATACATGCCTCGCATGCTCTTCCACAGTGTCATAAAAAAGAGAGGCTTACCCTGGTGGGACTCGAACCTACGCATTCCCCATGATATGCGAGGAAGTGGGACCCATGTGGCATATTAATTTACTCAAGCCAACATTTAGTGCGTTTATGGGATTCCGTCAGAGACCAAATACCGGTACCGTCCCCTGGAAAGTAAATTTACAAGTGAGTGACTGTACACACGACAGTCATACGTGATATGTAACTCAGACAAAATGTGACTTAAAACTACACAAGAATTTCTGCTCATCGTGATGTCAGACTGCATGCAGCTGACCGAAGGCATACGGTATGTCCATGAATGGACGCAGCCAGAGTATTTTTCCTGGGGTACAAGATTTTTTTCCAGAGAGGCGGCATCATGAACTGGAAACTGACACACAATCAGCGGGGGGGGGTGTTCAGGTCTGAGGTATTTCCCAGTAAATTGGTGATTTTCCTCCCGTCTTCCATATTTTTCTCTCACTGTTTAATTTGTATACCCCTTCCCCTCCCCTACGCGAGGCCAGTGTCTACGCGTCAATGTCAGAGCATTCACGTTCACTTGAAGTGCTCAGTGATACTCCTTTCTTTCATGGTGTGCAGCTGTTCCAATTGACTAGTCAGGTAAGGCAGACGAGCACCAGAAAAAGACGAATGACGAACACTGCGACACTGAGGGGTGTCTTGCAAAACGGGGTTACAGAGGCGTCTACAATGCTTGGCACACACCTTTTGCGCAAAAAAAGCCTGACGAACGATGATGCCTTCCTTGTTCTCATTGGCATTCCCTACTAATGTCCTCTGAGAGGGCCGTGTAAGTGGCTGGCAAACAGTACTATTTCCGGTGCTATTCATGTCACGAACCCTTCAATTTCTGCACTTCCTTTTCCAAAGAAAAGTTTCTTGGTGCTTAGACTACGAAGTAGACATTACATGGAAATGCAGCCACGCTTAGTTTGTGTAATTCCTAAATGACGTGTGTAACGAGGCTGAGGCATAATTACAGGTATATACTTCAGTGGAATTTGGTTTTCACAACACAGAACCCATCATCAGCAAAGTTTGTGCTTAAGTGTACATAATTTAAAAAGGTTCATTTATTACTAGGTGGGCACGCATGAAAACGAAAACAAAACCGAATGAATCAATACAACGAATTACCACGCGTTGTTTGGCACTCTCTAGCATGTTCCAGTTAAACAATCATCGATTTTCTTGAAGTTTTCACTGGTTCCAGATTAACACCTCAAAATGAGGTTTATAATTATGACTCCAGGGGAATGTGTATGGAACCGTGAAACTAAGTCAACAAGAAGTTACGCCATTTACTTCTACTGGCCAAAGGGAAACATTACCATAAATCAGAGACAAGAATGATAGTGTTCATTAATCAAGCCATGGCTCGACTTGCAGCCAAGAAAAAGTGCAAATGGCGAGGGAACAAGTCACATGTAATTGAAAATGTATACATAACTTGGGGGAACACGAACACTCACGCATTCGTGACCATCCATCAAATACATGTATTGCAGTTCATGATTGCCCGAACGTGTTGTGGGGAAAGAGACTCCCTGGGCTAATTGATGTCACGTTCGGAAACAAGATCTGCGGGAGCTTTTGCCCATTGGAAGAACACCAGAAGCAATGGGGAGTTCAATAAGTCATCTACGTCACTCTGTCTTTATGTAAGTACATCTTCTTCATTGTTCGTTCTGACAAACAAAACTTTTCCAGTTTGGAGCGTCTTCGAAGCTAAGTGGCGCCCACGTGGTGTCCTTCTTTGCAGACTTCCACTTTATCTAAACAAACAAGGAGCTGCACATTTAAAGGAGTCTCAAATGTTTATATAAAACAGAAGAAACTAATACCACAGCCTTGGTTTGATAAACAAATTAAATGCCAGCAACGCGGACGGGCTTGGGTACCAAACAAAAAACACCCACTCTCGAACTAATAAACACTGTTTCTCATGCATCGGAGTGTCTCTCACGAAACAGCCTTATGCTCATCCGCAATCGGACAACCGGCAATCAGATGGGAATCACGAGGATAACGAGATGCATCATGCTTGCATCACTGTATATACGCCACTTAACAAAGAGCTTCGCTCGGTTTGTGGTATCACTCGTCAAAGCGAAACGTTACACCCGATCGCGGCAACGCAATACGCCTGCGATCCCTGCTGTCGCGCAATCACTTTCCTCTTCGGCGACACGCCACGGCGAGACCAAAATACATGTATATCTTCGTCCGACGGGTAACACGCCAAACAATGCACGCACGGGAGCCTGCAATTTGTAAATCCCGGGATGGACTCGTCTCTCGTCTATTAGTAATATTTGGGCAGGTGGCTCACATCTCACTCAAAATGCCTTCACGGTTTTTGTTGCTGTATGTTTTTAGACGGGATTGCGTTAAGTGATCCCTCCTACCGTGTACTGCATGACAGACACCCGAGTGAGGGTAGTTTAGCCATCTTTCGGCTTAAATGAAGCCAAAATCCACTTCTAACGTCACAGGCCTACGCTAAGCTTTCTCTTAATCAGCATTACCTAAAGACTCAAGTGCACTGTATTTTTTAAAGTATCAAAATGTGGTTTGCGCGTTTCCCCTTTGTTTTCCAATCGCGACACTAGGCTGAAATGACCGTACGAGTGTCAGGTTTAGCTCAGAATTAACTTCAAACGTACAGTCGGGTTTAGCGAGAACCCCAAATTTGCCTATCACTGATAAGCTTACAACAGTTTCTGGAAACCAGTGTTCCATTCCAATCTAAACCCGTCTCGGTGTTTATATATCGCGATAATAAAAACAGCGACACGAGACATCGGTAAGTGTTAATGAGGCAGACAAAGTGATAACTCATCTTTCGTGACAACTCATGTTACACTTTAGAGCCCCTCTTGGCGAGCAATTAGCAAAATCGTCCAAGTTGGGGAGGGGGACGGTGGCTAAAACATGGGCGACGAGTGTCGTCGATGAAAAGTTAAGGGGGGGGGGAGAACGTGTTGGCGCACAGACGGAATGTAACACGCAACACGAAATGTATGCACGGTAGCTTTGGCTGGCATTCCAGAAATGTCAGTGTGTAAGTTTTTACATGTTTGTCGGCGCGTTTGAACATGTGCTTAAATTGAAAGTTTCAAGGCAGACAGCTTGTACGTACTGAGAAACAAACCAGCCTCAATTCAGACGAAACAAAACCCAATCAAATATACTCTATGATCGTTTGTAAAACGATACACAATTTAAAATATGTATATAAATTACGCAATCGTCCCCAGAATGTCGTTTTCAATGCTCAGGAAAGTACATGTAAATATAACATCGCTCGAAAAGTATAAGCATAAATTTTGTACCACACCACAGGAAATTTGCTGATCGGAAACTTATCTTGGCAAAATTTGACTGCGAAATGAATTGTCCTAGGCATGTAATTATTGCACATCAATTATTTGTTCTTTGTCAATGTCCTTTTAACTTGCCATTTTCGCATGCTTGACTCAAAATTGCCATACATCATGAACATGCGTGCAAAAAATCAAAACAGAAACATAAAATGCAGTGCCGTGTTGAACTGATCTGTTGTCAACGTTTCGAACATACATCTTCCTATATACAGTTGGTATAGGGTAAAAGTGCATTGTTAGTTCTCTACTTCCGGTTCAACCATTCAATGATATGATACGACTGGTCCAATTCCTTCCCCAACTAGCGTCCATCTTTGTCCATCTTGTAACAAAGCAGTGTTGCCGCACACAGAAAGTTCGTCAAGCCAGCATCGATGAGTTTTCGCTGAAGCCGAGGCATGTCCACCACGGTTATTCCATGATGTCCGCTGTTTAGTTACGAATGAGGTCTAAAAAAACACCCGATAGTCAGATCGAATGTGATGAATGGCCCTGAATCAACAACACGATGTTGATATAGAAATGCCAAGAAAGACAATAGCATCGGTAGTCCGGCGACGCGCAAAGTGACAGTCAGAGAAAAAGTAAGTAGAAAAAAAGTGACAATCATATTGAAATTTTCACCTCCGTAACCACAATAACCATCGCCTGACATGTAAAATATTCCGATGGTTATTAAAACTGCCCATCAAGTTCACAGTGGTTGATTTTGATATATACGGACATCAACATTCCTACGCTCAAAACACCTTCAACAACAAATGAGTGAACCTCGTTCAATCAAGAACAAGATTGCAAAGGTTGAAAAGTGGGGGGCTTTGATAGCAAAGAGTTAGTATGAAAATTATTTCAATACTTTTTAATTCGGGTAACATCAATTTTAAAAAGGGGGGGGTGGATTCGTCCATAGTATAAAGCAAATTTTATATAGCAGTTAACATACTGATCCAATGTTGGGAAATAACTTGAGCAACAATTTTAGGATGTGTATATCAAAACCATTTATAATACACCGGCTTCATTGCCCATTTTTGAGGAGTTATTTATGACATACTGTTGTCGCTGTTCTTATTGGTCATTTCTGTTGAACCACGTTGCCTTGATCAAGAATCTATAACGGGGTCATAATTCACAAGAGTAGTTTGGACGACTACTCTCCGATAATCATAGAGAATCGGTCAGATTTACGGGAAGGCATCAGTAACATTTACTGACATTGTACATGGCTTCATGTAAATATGACATTTAAATGTCACATCCCCCGAGAGGCGGATAGCGGCTCCTGGGAACGCCACTGTCAATAGAAATAACGGTCTCGGATCCGCAGTGAAGATAAAGACGAGAACGCACAGCGCCACTGAGGCAAACAAATGCTTCCAGATCGTATACCGTGGAACACGGCGGAAATAAATCAAATAGAATACCGAGGAAGACAGAAATGTGTTCTGTCTACAAGCAATCTGGGCATCAAGTTGAATTTGTGAATCCAGTT